CCCACCCCACCCCACCTCCTCCCTCCATATGAAATCTTGAAGCTCAAGAAACCTCTAAGGAGCCTGACTTTTCCGACTTACCAAAGATAAGAATTTAATATATTTCATATGGTATACTCTCAAGACTCCCATCCATCTCACTCTCCCTTTTTCATTCTCCATATAATACAATGTTTTTACCGAGTTGTATGCACTCACGAACAATACAGAAACCGATTCAACACTAGTGAATATCCCTCAAAAACTTAAACTAATCGCTAACGAGCACCATTATTACATTAATGCCCAAACTCTTTGAATCTAATTATATGTGCAATTGTCTCTCATTTGCATCTCAACGATGAGAAATGAAGTTAAAAGAGGAAAGCTATTTATTTATTTTATTATTTGCTAACAAAAGCTGGAGGTAGGCCTAAAAGGACTTGGGCATGTTGTACAAAAAATAATCTTATTTTTTTAGAATTAAATGAAAATATGACACTCGATAAGACACAATGGAGAAAAAGGATTCATGCAGCCGACCCACTGAATGGGATAAAGGCTTCTTGTTGTTATTGTTGTAACAAATACTAAAGGCAAGGATAAAGAAAGTATTGAAGTTCAATGATTATAGTTGGTTATGGAATTCGCACACGGGTCCTCATCCATAGTAATATTCAAATACTAACATTAGCAATCCCTAAGGGTGCCATGTTTAAGACTACAAGTGTTCCACTTTATATAACAAAAATTAAAGAAAAAGATAAACACAAGCATGACAAGCCAAAAAGACACAAAAGAAAAAAATTATTCAATTCAATAACGCCTACATGATGATCAAATAATAATAATTTAGTTTTACCGTTTCTTCACACCATCCTGTCCTGTCTTCTTATCCGAAGCTTGCTTCTCAAAAGGTGGGCAACCATCCCATTTCCACCAAAGCTGTAACAAATAAATAAAGATCATGAACATTGACGAACTTACATCTCTTAGACAAGAGCACTCATGCATGCATTGAAAACAAAATACTCATAAGTGAATGCCTGACATAGCTATCACATATAATCTTGCGTTATTGGTCAAAGAGTGTATGAAATGAAAATAGTTGGCATTGCTTACCCAATTCTTTTCTCTTTCCAGTATATGCTCTATACTTTGAAGGAACTCCTTTCCTTTTGGTGGAGTGCTTTCAAGAAGTCTTTTAACACGTTGTTCGCAGGATTTGATTTCTTCTAGCTGGAGAAATGAGAACAATTCATGAAGATGTGAGAATTGCTCAAAATATTAAATCCGGCAATAAGACTTAAAAATATTAATACTGGGAGCCATATCCACTTCAAAGAAAACAGAAAATAAGAAAATTTTGATCACATATCGAGCGCATCATATTAATTTAGCAAACAGGGTTAAATACTTTCGTTAAGAAAGGTCGCATTTGAATGAAGTTAATATTAAAATAACAAACGCTGAAATAAAATCTACAGTACTGCATTTCCAGAGTATGAGAATGGTATCCATATAACAAATTATTTATGTGAGATAGAAGTGGATGAATACGTATTAGATGGCTTAACATACGGGTGCCGGTCCACATGGGCAGCACATCCTAATAAAGATGGATATTCAAAAGATGACTGAGCTATGTGGAGATGAATATCAATATATGATCTAGGAAGATCTCTTGACGGAGATTCATATCACACCATTAAAAATAAAGATCAAGCCATTATGAGTCTTAGGTGAAGACGGATCATCATTCAGAAGAGCACTAACCAAGACCGATAGATGGAAATTTGGACTATTAGATTGCAATAGCGATAGCATGAAGGATAACTATTGAATCTTGAACTTATTTTGAATAAATTTATATTTTGAGTTCAAATTTCAATTTTCTTCTTTTGTGCAGTTAGTTAAGGATATGCATGCTCATCAATGGCAGAGTTAAGGATAATATTATTCTTTATTTAATGGATCTTAGTAAAAAAGAAGATCAAATCAATTTAAATTTATTCCTCGCATTTTTTTGTCCCCAAAATAAGGTATTTCATACAATAAAAGGAAATACCAAATCTCCAAAAATATTTTCTCTACCTCTCCATTTGAGAACAAGATGGAGACCACAGACACAACAGCCCCTACAAACACTACAACCATCATAGATGTTATTAGAAGTTATATTAGGAAATAATTTATTTATGTTAGAAGTTATGAGGATTATATTTATTTCCTAAATTAATTTTATTTTATTTCCTATTTTAGATTTATTTTCTTGAATTTGATTTATTTCATTTCCTATTTTAGTCTTTCCTATTTTATATTATTTCATTTATCTCCAAATAATTATTATGAAATGATTAATTAGAGATATCAAGTATTATATATTTCTTTTCCTGTTATTTTTTTTTACTTATATTGTTTCATTTATCTCCAAATAATTATTATGGAATGATTAATTAGAGATATCAAGTGTTATATATTTCTTTTCTTGTTATTTTTTTTTATTGTCCTTCCTATTCTAGGATTCATGTAAGGGTTATTTATAACTCATTTTCATATCAACAAAGAAATTCTGCATTATCCTGAGTTTCAACAAGATATCAGAGCATTGAAATAAATCCTCTCCTGCCACCAGAAGCTTCTTATTCCCTGCAGTCCACAATATTTGTCGTGCAGCAGACCCTTCCTCCGCCTCCTCTTTTTATTTTCTATTTTTTTATTTTTTCTTTTTGCCGGAAACTTCCTCTCCTTGTAGGCCCCATCGCCGGAATTCCCTCCTACAGCCTTTCCAGTGGCACTTTTTCTAATCGAGATCCACCCGTAACCTACGACAAGCGCCGGTGTTGACAGAATCCTGCGGCCCACCCCGCCGCAGCGGATCAGCTATCATATGGTGTCTCCCCTCTCAAAAGTGCCAAAATATTTGCATCAGTCGAGCATAAGGCTCAAATTAATAGTCACACCATTCAATCTGTTGCGGTCGCTGTCGTTCCCACTTCTGAATCAAGGTTTGTGACTGTTGCGGCTGCTTCTAATGAGGATGAGGACAATAGCAGAGCAAAGGAAGCTAAATAAGAGAACGGGCCATAGGCGATGAAGAAGGTCAAGCCAAAGAAGCCTAAGAAACCCAAGGTAGCGGTCCACGAGGCTGCCTCTAAGATTGATGTAACAGATCTCACTGCATGCCTTGCAAAGGTGTCGATTTCCTATGAGTCGCAGTATGATATCCAGTTGATGAGATCCATGGACTAATTTGAGCCAGCATCTTCCAGTGTCAGAGCATCGCAGTTCCCTTGGAGGAAGATATTCAAAGATTCGCCTGTTGCTAAAAATATCTGTCATATTTCAAAACTGATTTACAAAACATTAGTTGATTGGCTTGCTTCAAAATAACCTGATGCACTTTGTGATTTTGTTTTTTCGTGTCTAGATTCCATTCTTTTGACCTTGCAGCTCAGCAGTGTGCTGCTAAACACTCTAAAAAGGCCACACAGAAACCTTCTTCAAATTCTCAGGTTGCAATATTTGTCGTATTGGCAATGACTCTTTGACGAAAGCTTGAGATGCTCATTAGTCTTCTACCCAAACTAAGAGATGATCCACATTATCAAGGACAAGAAAAGGTTCTTGTGATTGTGTAAACTATTTCTCAAGCTTCTTAAGAGGATCTGGTGGTTGAGATACATGTGTGGGTGCATTATCTATTGCCTCTAATTAGCGGAAAATATGGCAATTAGCCAACAAGGGGTTTGGCTTTACAGTTGGTTGATAGTATTTTGGAGAGGCCTAAAGCCCGTCCAATGCTAATAAATGGTATTGTTAGAAGAGGAGAACGCATTGTTCTTGTTTTGCACTTGATTTAGTAATGCTGGCTACCTTTCCTATACCTTCTGCTTGGGTGAAGGCTACGGAGAGATTAGAAGCACTATATCCAACCCTGATGAAGGGGATGCTTGTTGGTTCTCCAGGTTCCAAAGCTACAAAACAAGCTTCACAACAGATATTGTCATATGCTGCTCTGCTAAGGCTTCTACAAAGGCTACAAAGGCTGCTAAAATTACAAAACAAGTTTTTCCACTGCAGATCCTCCACCATAATTCTTCTTGCAGCAGACCCTCCTCCGGAACTTTTCTTACAATATGTCTACCTCCGGAGTTTTTTCTTTTTTTTTTGCAGGCCATACATTGTAACTTTTCTTGTGGTTGTCTACTTCTCTTCAAACTACCCTGCACTATTACCTGTAGGAGTCTTCTGCCAACCTAAAGACGCTGCAAGTACTGCAATCAAAGACAATCGTAGTCAATTAGAAGTCAGTTTTTACTGCAGGTTGTCTAATATCCTACAAACTCGCCTGCAACATTACCCGTAAGAGTCTTTCGCCAACCTACAGACACTGCAGAAGCTGCCGTCAAAGAAGA